CGGACTCGATGTCCCCCTCCTCTGCCGGGACCTGGGAGAAGCTCTCCCGGAGGTGTGAGTTGAAAGTCCGTCTGACAGGGGGCTCAGCGAGACGTTCCCAGCAAACCCTCACTACACGCTTGGGCCTGCCAGGTCTGACCGGCCTCCTGCCCTGCCAGCGGATCCAACTCACGACCAGGTGATGATCGGTTGACAGCTCCGCCCCTCTCTTCACCCGAGTGTCCGAGACACGCGGTCGAAGGTCAGATGATACGACTACAAAGTCGATCATCGACCTCCGGCCTAGGGTGTCCTGGTGCCACGTGCACTGATGGACACCCTTGTGCTCGAACATGGTGTTCGTGATGGACAGGCCGTGACTGGCACAGAAGTCCAACAACTGAACACCGCTCGGGTTCAGATCAGGGGGGCCGCTCTTCCCGATCACCCCTCTCCAAGTGTCACTGGCATTTCCCACATGGGCGTTGAAGTCCCCCAGGAGAATAACGGAGTCCCCGGGCGGTGCACTGTCCAGTACCCCTCCCAAGGACTCCAAGAAGGCCGGGTACTCTGCACTACCGTTAGGCCCGTAGGCCGTCACAACAGTGAGAGACTTGTCCCCCACCCGGAGGCGGAGGGACGCGACCCTCTCATTCACCGGGGAGAACTCCAACACGTGGCGGCTGAGATGGGGGGCAATGAGTATGGCCACCCCAGCTCGCCGCCTCTCCCCGCGGGAAACACCAGAAAAGTGGAGCGTCCAACCCCTCTCAAGGAGTTGGGTTCCAGAGCCCAAGCTGTGTGTGGAGGTGAGGCCGACTATCTCTAGTCGGTATCGCTCAACCTCCCCCACAAGCTCGGGCTCCTTCCCCCCCAGTGAGGTGACGTTCCACGTCCCAAGAGCCAGATGTTGGGTGTGTGGACTGGGTCGTCGAGGTCTCCGCCTTCGACTGCTGCCCAGTCCTCTCTGCACCTCGCCACCACGGACCCCTCTGCAGGTGGTGAGCCCACAGGAGGGACTGCCCACGTCATCCCTTCGGGCTGAGCCCGGCCGGGCCCCGTGGGCTAAGGCCCGGCCACCAGGCGCTCGCTTGCGAGCCCCGACCCCAGGCCTGGCTCCAGGGTGGGGCCCCGGCTGCGCCATGCCGGGCGACGTCACGGTTTTTGTTGTCGTGCTGTCCATGGTTGGCTTCGGACTGCGCTTCGTCTGACTCGTCACTTGAGACCTGTCTGCCATGGGAGACCCTACCAGGGGCATGAAGCCCCAGACAGCATAGCTCCCAGGATCATCCGAGTGCTCAAACTCCCCCACCACGTTAAGGTGGCAGTCCAAGGGGGGAGAGTTGTGAGTATGCTTTATGATATTATCAAAATATTTTAATCAAAAATGTATAACTGCTTGCATGTAAATAACGCACATAACCTTGCAAAATTGTAAGAGGGACTTGGGAAAATCGGGGATGCAATAAAAAAATTATAAAAATTAAAAATTAAAATAAAAAATTACATAATTCAAATTGATGCACGACACAAACATATTCTTTCTCCACAGCTCTTGCAACTATTGTTTTTGCTACACAGACTAGACACCGCAGCACACCCACATATAGATTGTTTTATAGGATCACTTCAATGTATGTATGTAGTTTAGGGTGAGTTGGATGCTCAGTCCGCCCAGAGGCCTTTGGGGGGGTCTGAAGTAAGGGCTGAGTGGAAGACCACCACATTTTTCATAATGTCACATGGGGTGGTTTAGGAGTTCACAGATCGTCGTGAAGACTGGGATTAGACTGAGTATAGGATGTAATGCTGGATCAACTGATGAAGATGGGCCATCTGGGACAAGAGTGATGGATGTCCGAAGAGTTCCTCTCCGGCCAACAGGGAGACTGTTGGAATATTAAAGGCCTCCTGCACCAGTTGAAAACTAAAATCAGTTTAGTATTGTTTCTGCTGCTAAATTAATACTTAAACAACTTCAGAATGATTAGGTTTAGAAAGCACTTGTTTGTGTAAATTATTTCAAAGAGCAAGTTAGGTCAAGGTTATTATTTCGGAATAGTAGCAGTTATGTATGAAAAGTGAGAAAAACTGTAGTTGTTATCAAGCAGGTGCAGGTTTTGGCAGCTGGCCAGAAGAAGTCATAGAGTCCACAAATCTGTGATGTCAGTGACCTTGGATGTAAAGTATAAAAGATGTACAGGAGCAGTCACGGGGGCTTTTTCTTCTGACAAGGAGCAGTGAGACGTCCCCGAGGCCACTCCTTATCTTGAACGCGAAGCGAGATTTGTGTTCGCAGACCGTTAATATTGTAATATTGCTTGCAAATCTTCAATATAACCTTTTGAAATCAGGTTTGGTATCTGTCATTTCTATTTACTGTTTAATATTGGTTTTGTCTCTTGTTAAACTAAAAGGACCTGCAGAACGAAACGGGCTGCTGTGTTTGCGGCCTCTCTGCAGCTTCTGGAGCGGGGGAATTCTGACAGATTAACTGCAATGTGCAAGAACTAGCGAAACAAGTCAAGACACTGACAGCACTGGTCAGTCAACAAGCACAAAGTGTTCACAACCAAACCTCTGAAGAAGATGAACATGAAGAAGTGGGGATTCCTCAACTGCGGAAAAAAGAAGAAGAAATATGGAGGAAGTCAAAGACCAAGACAATGCAAAACATGAACAAAGAAAAAGAAGAACTCATTTGTTTAATGGACAAAGAACCAAAGCACACCCAAACCAGTCGTGAAATGCATATAAGAAGAGGCATAGAGAACCGACTGAGGACAGGCCACGACCCCTTCCGTCCAGAGACAAGAGACCACTATGTTGCAGGGGAGTTTACCGGCCTGGTCGAAGACCAACAGCATGAGGGAGCCTTCGTGAGTGGGCATGTCAACCCATTTTTTGACCCAAATCACTCACTGCTAGAAGAAGATGAAGCGGGAAGAGCAACAACCTCTCTCTTTCCACTAAGAGAGGCTGCGGGTCGCCAGCAAGTGTATCAGCCATTTGCATTAAAAGACATTGAAGGACTAATGCTGAAATTGCCAAAGCTGACAAAAGGAGCACCTGCATTTATGAGGGCACTGACGACGCACACAGCTGGTGAAATATTGTGCTGGGGAGACGTCTCTTCTATAATCACCAGAAATACTGATGAAGCCACTACCAAGAAAGTACGGGCGGAGCTAACAAAACGCATTGGACCATTCAACCATACCCTGTCCTTTACCACCATGAAAGGACCGCTGCTGTCAATTCTGAGAGAAATGTTTCAAACATGCGTTCCAGAAGAATTACTTTCGCTGAAGATGAAAGAAGATGAAGAGTACTTTGAGTACAAGCGCAGAGCCAAGGCCTTATTCTATGATGCAACTGGGGAAGCAGTGCAACCAGGAACAACAAGTACATTCATCCTGTTCAACACAATGGTCAAAGGAATGCCAAAATCAGTACAACAAAGTCTTTCTCATGTTGTTGGACTGTACACACTGACCGAAGAAGACTTTGATAAAAACTGCAACCACTATGTGACCCTCTATCGAAATGAAAGAGAGAATAATAAAGAAAACCACAAAAAGTGGAGGTGTCTAACATCAAGCTACAAAACAAGAAACTTAAAGAAGAGGTGGAAGCACAAAAGAGTAAAAACAAGGCCGCAAATGTGATGAAAGTTGGAGTGGACGGATCACAGGTCAATGTTGAGGACAATGACCAGAATCAAAAAGGAAAAGAGCAAGCTGAACAGATGGTGGACGTTGTAAAGCTCCTTTTGACACAGAGACCGGCTCAGAGAGGATACAGGGGGAACTCCAGAGGAAGGAGTAGAGGGAGAGGATTTCAAGGACAAAGAGGCAATCGTAAAATATCTGGAGATCAATGCTTGATATGCCACCAATATGGACACTGGGCAAACACATGCCCTAACAAGTGGTACGAGAACCCACCCCGGAACCAATTTAATGGCCGGCGACGAAACCAACCGCAATTCTCCGGACCCTACAACGGACAGCAGCAGATGTGGACGCCCAATGACATGCCACAGCCCCCACCCCCGCCTGAACAAAACATGAGTATGCGTGGAAACTCGTACACACAGTACCAGGATGGGCCTGGAGGCTCTTATTGACGGGGCCAACAGCAAGAGAGCCACTCACTCCACAACTGGCGGAGTGAGCCAATGGTGGTCCTCGAGGTGAATGGACGAGAGATCAAGTTCATGGTCGACTCTGGTGCAACTGTGTCATGCATCACACACAAGTTTCCACTGTCCTCTGAATCAATGTCCATCTCTGGCTGTGTGGGCTCTGCTCTCCTCTCTCTCCTCTCTCCTCTCTCTCTGCTCTCTCTCCTCTCTCTCCTCTCTCTGCTCTCTCTGCTCTCTCTCCTCTCTCTCCTCTCTCTCCTCTCTCCTCTCTCTCCTCTCTCTGCTCTCTCTCCTCTCTGCTCTCTCTCCTCTCTCTGCTCTCCTCTCTCCTCTGTCCTCTCTCTCCTCTCTCTCCTCTCTCTGCTCTCTCTCCCTCTCTCCTCTCTCTCCTCTCTCTCTGCTCTTTCTCCTCTCTCTCCTCTCTCTCCCTCTCTCCCACCTCTGCTCCTCTCTCTGGGGGTCTCTCTCAGGCATGGAGGGTCTCTCTCACCCCCATGGCCTCCACAGCACGGAGCCCGGAGCCTTCTCAGGAACCAACTGTGAGTTTATACAAATGTCTGTCAGAATCTACAGACTGTCACGTGTTCAAACATTACTGTGATCATTTCTTTGTTAGTCCTTGGATCAGTGAGGGTCAGAGTTACCCTGGCCTTATCCATCCGTACACTCTGCTCATGTCCTGCAGGTAACGTCTGGGTCTGGTCCCTGTGTCTGTGATTACAATCGGTTGAATTCCATCCGACCAATCAGAGAGCGCGGGAGGCGGGTGTTGTAGTTAGATGTGAGTTAGTTAGCCGAACGGGCAGGTTGTAGTTTGGCAAAGAATGTGATAGTAAAGTATTCTGGTCTGGTTCTATCAAGAAACTGAAGCCGGAGGAAGAGGAATGTTTAGCAAATGTAATCGCTGCAAAGATTGTGTCGCTACTCCCCACGGGCTCCGTTAGCAGCAAAGAAGAAAGCTAGGCTAAATGCTAAAGCTAGGCTAAATGCTAAAGCTAGGCTAAATGCTAAAGCTAGGCTTAATGTTAATGCTCACGACTCACTCGGGCGCATTACATTCGTCACAGTAAACTCAGATCCAATGGTTTCAATCTGCAAAAGGAGTTAGCCCCTCCCACCTGTTAACGGGGTCAATGGAGCCAATCCACACTGTAGTACGAAATGTAATTTGTACTATGGTGTGGTAAGACCGGGCTAGGTTAGAGAGGTTCTGTCTGTTTGTCCTCACACTTGTCCTTCTTGTCCTCAGACCTGTCTCACACTTGTCCTTCTTGTCCTCAGACCTGTCTCACACTTGTCCTTCTTGTCCTCAGACCTGTCTCACACTTGTCCTTCTTGTCCTCAGACCTGTCTCACACTTGTCCTTCTTGTCCTCAGACCTGTCTCACACTTGTCCTTCTTGTCCTCAGACCTGTCTCACACTTGTCCTTCTTGTCTTCAGACCTGTCTCACACTTGTCCTTCTTGTCCTCAGACCTGTCTCACACTTGTCCTTCTTGTCCTCAGACCTGTCTCACACTTGTCCTTCTTGTCCTCAGACCTGTCTCACACTTGTCCTTCTTGTCCTCAGACCTGTCTCACACTTGTCCTTCTTGTCCTCAGATCTGTCTCACACTTGTCCTTCTTGTCTTCAGACCTGTCTCACACTTGTCCCTCTCGTCCTCAGACCTGTCTCACACTTGTCCTTCTTGTCCTCAGACCTGTCTCACACTTGTCCTTCTTGTCCTCAGACCTGTCTCACACTTGTCCTTCTTGTCCTCAGACCTGTCTCACACTTGTCCTTCTTGTCCTCAGACCTGTCTCACACTTGTCCTTCTTGTCCTCAGACCTGTCTCACACTTGTCCTTCTTGTCCTCAGACCTGTCTCACACTTGTCCTTCTTGTCCTCAGACCTGTCTCACACTTGTCCTTCTTGTCCTCAGACCTGTCTCACACTTGTCCTTCTTGTCCTCAGACCTGTCTCACACTTGTCCTTCTTGTCCTCAGACCTGTCTCACACTTGTCCTTCTTGTCCTCAGACCTGTCTCACACTTGTCCTTCTTGTCCTCAGACCTGTCTCACACTTGTCCTTCTTGTCCTCAGACCTGTCTCACACTTGTCCTTCTTGTCCTCAGACCTGTCTCACACTTGTCCTTCTTGTCCTCAGACCTGTCTCACACTTGTCCTTCTTGTCCTCAGACCTGTCTCACACTTGTCCTTCTTGTCCTCAGACCTGTCTCACACTTGTCCTTCTTGTCCTCAGACCTGTCTCACACTTGTCCTTCTTGTCCTCAGACCTGTCTCACACTTGTCCTTCTTGTCCTCAGACCTGTCTCACACTTGTCCTTCTTGTCCTCAGACCTGTCTCACACTTGTCCTTCTTGTCCTCAGACCTGTCTCACACTTGTCCTTCTTGTCCTCAGACCTGTCTCACACTTGTCCTTCTTGTCCTCAGACCTGTCTCACACTTGTCCTTCTTGTCCTCAGACCTGTCTCACACTTGTCCTTCTTGTCCTCAGACCTGTCTCACACTTGTCCTTCTTGTCCTCAGACCTGTCTCACACTTGTCCTTCTTGTCCTCAGACCTGTCTCACACTTGTCCTTCTTGTCCTCAGACCTGTCTCACACTTGTCCTTCTTGTCCTCAGACCTGTCTCACACTTGTCCTTCTTGTCCTCAGACCTGTCTCACACTTGTCCTTCTTGTCCTCAGACCTGTCTCACACTTGTCCTTCTGTCCAACCTGTCTCACCTGTGTCCTCAGACCTGTCTCACACTTGTCCTTCTTGTCCTCAGACCTGTCTCACACTTGTCCTTCTTGTCCTCAGACCTGTCTCACACTTGTCCTTCTTGTCCTCAGACCTGTCTCACACTTGTCCTTCTTGTCCTCAGACCTGTCTCACACTTGTCCTTCTTGTCCTCAGACCTGTCTCACACTTGTCCTTCTTGTCTTCAGACCTGTCTCACACTTGTCCTTCTTGTCCTCAGACCTGTCTCACACTTGTCCTTCTTGTCCTCAGACCTGTCTCACACTTGTCCTTCTTGTCCTCAGACCTGTCTCACACTTGTCCTTCTTGTCCTCAGACCTGTCTCACACTTGTCCTTCTTGTCCTCAGACCTGTCTCACACTTGTCCTTCTTGTCTTCAGACCTGTCTCACACTTGTCCTTCTTGTCCTCAGACCTGTCTCACACTTGTCCTTCTTGTCCTCAGACCTGTCTCACACTTGTCCTTCTTGTCCTCAGACCTGTCTCACACTTGTCCTTCTTGTCCTCAGACCTGTCTCACACTTGTCCTTCTTGTCCTCAGACCTGTCTCACACTTGTCCTTCTTGTCCCTCTCGTCCCCAGACCCAGACCCTCGGCCCCTGGATGTGAGCCTGGCCCCCCTGTCAGAGGAGGCCCCTGGAGCAGAGGCTCAGCTGTCCTTCCCACAGTCGGCTGCAGATGTGCCCAAAGAACACAGCCCCATGGTTCCAGAGCCTCAACCTCCACGCAGCCCCCTGGACCTGCCCCCAGGTCAGGCTCATGCCCTCCTCACCCCCCCACCCCCAACCCCCCTCACCCCCTCACCCCCTCACCCCCTCCCTCATCACACCACTGTCTTTAGTGCTCAGTAATGATGTAATGTCTTTTGGTCCCGTGTCTGTGGAGTGAGTGACAGCAGTGAGACAGACCTCTGCATCCAGGTCCTGGTCCAACCTGGAGGTGGCCTTTGTGTGGGGTTTTGCATGTTCTCCCTGTGTCTGCGTAGGTGTTCCTCCAGGTGCTCCGGTTTCCTCTACCACTAAAAACATGTTGGACTCCATCATTGAGCTGATTCCAGTGTATTTACAGCAGTAGCTTTGTCATTCAAACACATGATAATAATGATCATAACAATACATATCTAAATCTGTCAGTCCTGGTTTGAACTTGTTTAGTTTAATTCTGATTTTAACCTCTATTTTAGACTCAGGTCTGTTTGAAACCCTGACGGCGCCACATCATGGTTATTCTGAGCGTTTTATTAGAATGATGTCACACATGTGTTTATGTCTCACCTGAAACTATCCTCTCCATCCACCACAAGGTGCACTAGGGGACTGGCCCCCACAGACCTGCCTCTCAGACCTCCCCTTCACCCCCAGCGTCTCCACAGTGATCAGTCGTCATGCAGGCCAGCTCGGCACCAGCCCAGAGGACCGGCCCGAACGTTGGCCGGTCCGGGAGAGCGGGGCCTACGCTGGGGGGGACGAGAGGGAGACTGAGGGCTCCGATCGAAAACAGAAGAAGAAGAAGAAAAGACGACAGAAAGATGAAGCGTCGTACGAGCAGGACCAGAGCAGGGGTCCGGCCGAGGCCCAGGTCCAGTCTGAAAACACGGCCCCAGAGGAGGTCTCCAGCCGGGTCAGAGGGGACTGGGAGGAGCAGCTCGGGAAAGGCAGAGGCAAGAAAAACAAAAGTCGCAAGAAGATTCCAGAAGAGTGGAGCGTCATGGCCGAACCCTTCGTACCGTCGTCCGCTCCCATCGTCCCGGACCTCGCCATGGACCTCGCCATGGACCTGGGGAGTTCTGCCGTGGACTCGTCTTTCGCTGAGGCCTGGAGACCAGAACCACCGCAGGACGAGAGCCTCATCCCGGCTCCTCTGTCCCACGACGTCTTCTCCCCAGATCCCATCAGTGTTTTGATCCTGAACAGTGAGCTCAAAGCCACTGCTCCTCCCTTCACCATGCCAGGCTCCTTCGACCTCCTGATGGACATGGAGAACGGGAACTCACCCTTCTCTGCCGCTGACGTCGTGGACAGCGGCGTCTTCGACAAAACCTCGTCTCCTCGAGATTCCCAAGACGAGAACACGTCTGCGTTCAGCTCGGCGTCTCAGGCCAGCCCTCACGATGACGTCCAGGCCTCTGCACCGCCTCTGTCCCCGTCCTGGTTCTTCAACGAGTCCCAGACCAGCAGTGGGAACGACCTCTTCGACCTCAGTGAAAGTTCTGGTCCGCGGCTGCCTCTGGGTCTGACCTTCGACACCCCGAGTCCAGCTCCTCTGCGCTCCCCAAAGACCACAGCGCAGGAGTTCCAGTCCAAGAAGTCAAAGCTACCATCTCCTTCCCAAAGCCCGACTCCCGCGGACGAACCCTTTCTGGGGCAGGAGGCTGAAGCTACCTCCTCTTCATCACCTCCTGCACCCGGATCTGCGCTTAACCCAGCCGCCAAGCCCTTCTTCCCCAGTTTTGCAGACCCAGCAGAGGACTCGCCGGGGTCTCCCACTGCTGAAGGTTGGTTGGTGTCGTCGCTGGAGCGAGTAGACGTCCTAGAGACCTCTCCGTCCGCATGGTGTCCCGGCCTGTGTAGCTCACCCGGCTTTAGGACCTCTGTGATTATAGTCCGTCTAGTGCTTCTCAAACTGTCGTATCTCGGGGCCCGTTGGTTTAGTTTAAGCTTGGGTTAGACAGGTTTGGAGTTTGCTTTCGTCTTTGAAAAGCCAGACTCCGTATATTCTTGCTAATATTGTTCAAAGCACATGGAATCTTTCAGTAACTTGTGGTTAATAGTTGCTCAAAGTTCAGGTCTGGTTTTAATTTTAATTTTTATTTTGACAGTAGTAGTAACTGTACATATAGAAAAAAAAAAGGTCCAGGTGCAACTAGCGGTGGGTTTTTGGGTTGGTTCAGTCTCTTAGCAGACTTAAAACGACGTGTAGCTTATATTTAGAGGAGCAGTTGTTTTATTGTATAATCTTTAGTGTTATTTTTCCGTTAAAGTCACCATCTATGAGGCCATCTTTGCCGAGGTACTGAACGTTTGAGAATCACTGCGGTAGGAAACTAACCCCAGAGAAATCTCGCCCTTGCATGTTCACGGCGGTAAATCTCTCTTTGTCTTTGTCACTAAGGTTTGGGCTGAAGTCCTGCTCCGTCTGCGGTGTCTTCGGTCCAACCCTCTGGTCTCAAATCACACGTCATGGTTCTTCCTTAACCTCGTTTGGGATCGTTGACACTAACCAATCAAAACACTTTCTCTCTTCACAGAAATCAAACCTGTCGCACGTTTAACAGTAACATGTTTTGATTCAGGTGTTTGTACTAATCACCGTCTTCTGTTTGAGCAATAACCGCTGCCACATGGTCACTGCCACATGGTCACTGCCACATGGTCACTGCCACATGGTCACTGTCACATGGTCACTGCCACATGGTCACTGCCACATGGTCACTGCCACATGGTCACTGCCACATGGTCACCGCCACATGGTCACCGCCACATGGTCACCGCCACATGGTCACCGTCACATGGTCACTGCCACATGGTCACTGTCACATGGTCACTGCACATGGTCACTGCCACATGGTCACTGTTGTTTCTCTCTCTCCTTTCCATGTGCCGATCCACGCCTGGTCCTCTACGTCCAGGTGAGTCATGATCTTACTCTTCTTTGCTTGTTTCAGAAGTTCACTGATGGCTCGAGGTCGATTCGATACGAAGACCAGGTTTTCAGTCACATTGTTGTGTTGTGATATAGATGGAGGTTTTGCATTAAGGCCCAGTGTAAACAAAGGCAAAACGGGTGAAGTTTGGTTGTTTGGGAAAATAACAATAGACATTGTAGAGCTCCCTCTGGTGGCCGCACAGAGATAGGGCAGGTCCAAAGCTGTTTTTACCTTTTCAGACTTGTTGCACTTGTTTCTACTAAATATACTATTTCACAATTACATCTCAGTCTCAACAGTGAAATGACAGTGAGAGACTATTTTCTATTCTTTTAAAAAGCCAAAAGTAGTTTTAAAACCTTTACTAAAGTAGATTTGGATTAGTAAATGTTTTCTACAAGTAAGATTTTGCCCCATGTCCCTTTGGAGGTTTCTGGAGTGGTGTCTTTGGGGAGTGTTTGGGGAGTGTTGGGGGGTGGGGGGTGGGGGGGGGGGTGTTGGGGTGTCCTTGGGGGTGTGTTGGTCCTTGCTGTGCAGAGCTGTAGATTTGGGGGAGTCTCTGTGCTCTTGGTGGTGGGTGCCAGGGGGGGTCTCTGTCAGCCAACTGTTGTTAACCTTGTGCTGAGAAACACAGCCTCACTCTCACCTGGGGGGGAGACGAGGGAGGAGACGAGGGGGGAGACAGAGGAGGAGACGAGGGAGGAGACGAGGGAGGAGACGAGGGAGGAGACGAGGGAGGAGACAAGGGGGGAGACGGAGGAGGAGACGAGGGGGGAGACGGAGGAGGAGACGAGGGGGGAGACGGAGGAGGAGACGAGGGGGGGGGACGAGGGGGGAGACACGGGGAAAGCATTCTTACTACTAGAGGGAGCAGCGCCTGAGGTTAGAGCTGTGTCAGAGGGAGCAGCGTCTGCAGTCAGAGCTGTGTCAGAGAGAGCAGCGTCTGCAGTCAGAGCTGTGTCAGAGGGAGCAGCGTCTGCAGTCAGAGCTGTGTCAGAGAGAGCAGCGTCTGCAGTCAGAGCTGTCAGGGGGAGCAGCGTCTGCAGTCAGAGCTGTCAGGGGGAGCAGCGTCTGTAGTCTGAGCTGTGTCAGAGGGAGCAGCCACAGAGCAGGAGCCTGGAGCGACACTGGTGCGTGTGGCGGATGTGAGATGACGACTTGTGACGCTCAGGGGGAGGTGTCTGTGACCGCTGCTTTGACCGGAGGCTCCTCTCACTGTTAAAGCTGGGCTCTGTGACTTTAAAGCTGGGCTACTTGGGTTACTGTCATACTTTGGAGAGCTGGACCTGACTCGTACTTGTCCTGAAATATCCATTGATCCTGTGAGTTTTAGTTTAGTTGTCTCTGCCTCTGTCTCTGTCTCTGCCTCTGTCTCTGCCTCTGCCTCTGTCTCTGCCTCTGTCTCTGCCTCTGCCTCTGCCTCTGCCTCTGCCTCTGTCCCTGCCTCTGCCTCTGTCTCTGTCTCTGTCCCTGTCCCTGTCTCTGTCTCTGTCTCTGCCTCTGTCTCTGTCTCTGCCTCTGTCTCTGTCTCTGCCTCTGTCTCTGCCTCTGTCTCTCTGTCCGTGGTGCTGAAACTGAAACAGCTGAACCACAGGGAAATCTGCCGAAGTCGTGTGAGTGGCTCCTGACGGGTTCTAAATTCTTACCAATTTGAAATGATCATAAAAGCTGAGATCAAAGCACAGCGGCCATCTTTAAAACCACTGCTTTTAAAGATTCTCCTTCACAGAAGCAGAGATGAGAATGTTACCGGAGGAGGAGCTGTGTCAGAAACAGTCTTAGCCTCAGAGGAAACATTCAGGGATTTACTGTTGGATCCAGTTTACAGGAAATGAGACCGGAGACAACTGTCACCGGATCATCCAGGGGCAGGAGGAGCAGGAGGAGCAGGAGGAGCAGGAGGAGCAGGAGGAGCAGGAGAGAGGGCATGAGTCCTCTCTGGTCTCTCTCTGGTCTCTCTCTCTGGTCTCTCTCTCTGGTCTCGCTCTGATCTCTCTGGTCTCTCTCTGGTCTTGCTGGTCTCTCGCTGGTCTCTCGCTGGTCTCTCTCTGGTCTCTCTCTCTGGTCTCTCTGTGGTCTCTCTCTGGTCTCTCTCTCTGGTCTCGCTCTGATCTCTCTCTGGTCTCTCTCTCTGGTCTCTCTCTGGTCTCTCTCTGGTCTCTCTCTCTGGTCTCGCTCTGATCTCTCTGGTCTCTCTCTGGTCTCGCTGGTCTCTGGTCTCGCTGGTCTCTCGCTGGTCTCTCGCTGGTCTCTCTCCGGTCTCTCTCTGGTCTCGCTGGTCTCGCTCTGGTCTCTCTCTCTGGTCTCTCTCTGGTCTCTCTCTGGTCTCTCTCTGGTCTCTCTGGTCTCTCTCTGGTCTCTCTCTGGTCTCTCTCTGGTCTCTCTCCGGTCTCTCTCTGGGGTCTCTCTGGTCTCTCTCTGGTCTCTCTGGTCTGTCTCTGGTCTCTCTCTGGTCTCTCTCTGGTCTCTCTCTGGTCTCTCTCTGGTCTCTCTCTGGTCTCTCTCTGGTCTCTCTCTGGTCTCTCTCCGGTCTCTCTCTGGGGTCTCTCTGGTCTCTCTCTGGGGTCTCTCTGGTCTCTCTCTGGTCTCTCTGGTCTGTCTCTGGTCTCTCTCTGGTCTCTCTCTGGTCTCTCTCTGGTCTCTCTCCGGTCTCTCTCTGGGGTCTCTCTGGTCTCTCTCTGGTCTCTCTCTGGTCTCTCTGATCTGTCTCTGGTCTCTCTCTGGTCTCTCTCTGGTCTCTCTCTGGGGTCTCTCTGGTCTCTCTCTGGGGTCTCTCTGGGGTCTCTGGTCTCTCTCTGGTCTGAGGTTCATTATAATCATCTCTTACTCTCTTCTGAAACACTGCACACAGTTTTCTGCCTTTTGTCATGGTCCTCAAACACATCAGATTTTGGTTCGTGTCACACTGGTCTCCATGGCGACCAGCGGCAGAGAAACAGATGTGGCTAAAAATACACTGAGCTAAAGATGCTACTTAGCCGCCTCCTCCGCAGCCGTCGGTTCCACATGGTTCAGCACCAGGGCCTCAGAGCGTCAGTGTCTCTGTCCGAGGTCCTTTCCATCCACGAGACAAAACTGACTCCAACTCATTTACACATTCTTTGACTGGAATTGGTCAGTTTTGAGATGTAGAAGAAGGAGTTGTGTCATGAGCATAACTGTGGAATGAAAGAATGTCTTTTAGTTTCCAAAAAAATCTAAATAAGTACTTCAGGTTAGAAAGGCGGAGGGCCCTATAACGGGACACAGCGGGCCGCAGTTGGCCCTCGGGCCTCTTTAGGGTCTTTCCTGCGGGGTCCTGACTGACGTCTGTAATGTTCATGTTTCAGACTTTATTCAGAGAGATTCTAGAGCAGACGATAATCGTACCTGTGATCAGTGTGACTCATGTGAAGCTCCACTGACTCTGTGTGACCAGTGTGGTACCTGTGATCCCCTGTTAGTGTGGTACCTGTGATCCCTTGTTAGTGTGGTACCTGTGATCCCTTGTTAGTGTGGTACCTGTGATCCCTTGTTAGTGTGGTACCTGTGATCCCTTGTTAGTGTGGTACCTTTGATTACACCGATGTAACATGAAACCATCCAGACCTGCTCTCCCAGTGTGTGTGTGTGTGTGTGTGTGTGTGTGTGTGTGTCTGAGGACCCAGAGTGTGTGTGTGTGTGTCCGAGGGCCCAGTGTGTGTGTGTGTGTGTGTGTGTGTGAGGACCCAGAGTGTGTGTGTGTGTGTCTGAGGGCCCAGTGTGTGTGTGTGTGTGTCTGAGGGCCCAGTGTGTGTGTGTGTGTCCGAGGGCCCAGTGTGTGTGTGTGTGTGTGTGTCTGAGGACCCAGTGTGTGTGTCTGAGGGCCCAGTGTGTGTGTGTGTGTGTGTGAGGACCCAGAGTGTGTGTAGTGTGTGTAGGTGTGTCTGAGGCCCAGAGTGTGTGTAGGCCATGTGTGTGTGTGTGTGTCTGAGGGCCCAGTGTGTGTGTGTGTGTCGTGTGTGTGTGTGTGTGTGTATCTGAGGACCCAGAGTGTGTGTGTGTGTGTGTGTGTCTGAGGACCCAGAGTGTGTGTGTCTGTGTCCGAGGGCCCAGTGTGTGTGTGTGTCCGAGGGCCCAGTGTGTGTGTGTGTGTGTGTCTGAGGACCCAGAGTGTGTGTGTGTGTGTGTGTGTGTGTCTGAGGACCCAGAGTGTGTGTGTGTGTGTGTGTCTGAGGGCCCAGTGTGTGTGTGTGTGTGTCTGAGGGCCCAGTGTGTGTGTGTGTCCGAGGGCCCAGTGTGTGTGTGTCTGAGGACCCAATGTGTGTGTCTGAGGGCCCAGTGTGTGTGTGTGTGTGTGTGTGTCTGAGGACCCAGAGTGTGTGTATGTGTGTGTGTGTCTGAGGACCCAGAGTGTGTGTATGTGTGTGTATGTGTGTGTGTGTCCGAGGGCCCAGTGTGTGTGTGAGTGTGTGTGTCTGAGGACCCAGAGTGTGTGTATGTGTGTGTGTGTGTGTGTGTGTCTGAAGACCCAGTGTGTGTGTCTGAGGGCCCAGTGTGTGTGTGTGTCTGAGGACCCAGAGTGTGTGTATGTGTGTGTGTGTGTCTGAGGGCCCAGAGTGTGTGTGTGTGTGTTTGTGTGTGTGTGTGTGTGTCTGAGGGCCTGGTCTCTCTGTGGGGGTTCCTGGGGACATGTGGGGACAACAGTCTGTGTGATTCCAGTTATAAATAATAATAATATTAATGTTCTCACATGTGTCAGTGTGTTGTGTGTTCTTTAGATTGTTGTTGTGAGATTCTAATTGAAATGTATTTTGTGTTGTCGGCTTAATTTATTCAAGATAATTAAGGGCGGCACGGTGGCTGAGTGGATAGCACTCTCGCCTCTCAGCAAGAAGGTCCTGGGTTCGAATCCCAGTCGGACCAGGGCCTTTCTGAGTGGAGTTTGCATGTTCTCCCAGTGTCTGCGTAGGTTTCCTCCGGGTACTCCGGTTTCCCCTACCACTAAAAATATGTACAATAGTTCTGGCATGCGCCTCCCGTACTGGCGACCCCGCTCCCATCTATGTGAGGAGTGAGAGACTAATGCCCAAAAAAAATAACAATTGTAAACCGCTTTGAGGCTCTGGTTAGAGTGAAAAGGCGGTATATAAATAAACATTACTTACTACTTACATTACTTACTACTACTACTACTACTACTACTAAGCATTCGTTATTGCTTATTTAACTGTATCTGGTCTCTATGAGGGTCTCTCCAGAGGCTGCAGGTTGTTTGGAAAATAATCATTCCTGAAATGTACTTTTTGTTTGAACGTTCAGTTTTCTCTGCTCTGGACGAAGGTTAAGGTTTTAGTGAAGAACAACATCCAATTATTCACTGATCTACTGCTCCATATTTACATCTTATTCCTCTCTTCCTGTAAATGACTGAGTGAACCTGAAAAGCTCTTCTCTGTATTTTACCGTGTTCTGTCTCTACCTTGAACACTTCCCGTCTCTAAAGCCGCCGCTCGACATAATCCTCTTTCCGCTGAGACCACTTTATGTTTGGGCAGAAGCGATTTCTCTCAGATCCAACTGTTCCTCTGCTCGGGGAAGGCTGAGGATTTACGTCTGTGTCAGAGACGCTTCACAGAACCATTCAGCAGATTATTTTACATTCTGTGCAACAGAACCAGAACCAGAGAGAAGAGGGACTGGGACAAGGACTGAACCAGAACCAGAGAGAAGAGAGACTCAGGCTGGAACTAGGACTCTCTTTCTCTACTTTCTCTCTCTCTGGTCTCTCTCTGGTCTCTCTCTCTGGTCTCTCTTTAGTCTCTCTGGTCTCTCTCTGGTCTCTCTCTGGTCTCTTTAGTCTCTCTGGTCTCTCTCTGGTCTCTCTCTGGTCTCTCTCTGGTCTCTTTAGTCTCTCTGGTCTCTCTCTGGTCTCTTTAGTCTCTCTGGTCTCTCTCTGGTCTCTCTCTGGTCTCTCTCTGGTCTCTTTAGTCTCTCTGGTCTCTCTCTGGTCTCTCTCTGGTCTCTCTCTGGTCTCTTTAGTCTCTCTGGTCTCTCTCCACTCTCTCTGGTCTCTCTCTGGTCTCTCTCTGGTTTCTCTCTCTGGTCTCTCTCTAGTCTCTCTCTGGTCTCTCTCTAGCCTCTCTCTTGTCTCTCTGGTCTCTCTCTGGTCTCTCTCCAGTCTCTCTCTTGTCTCTCCAGTCCCTCTCTAGTCTCTCTGGTCTCTTTAGTCTCTCTGGTCTCTCTTTAGTCTCTCTGGTCTCTCTCTGGCCTCTCTGGTCTCTCTCTGGTCTCTTTAGTCTCTCTGGTCTCTCTCTGGTCTCTCTCTGGTCTCTCTCTAGCCTCTCTCTTGTCTCTCTGGTCTCTCTCTGGTCTCTCTCTGGTCTCTCTCTGGTCTCTCTCTGGTCTCTCTCTGGTCTCTCTCCAGTCCCTCTCTTGTCTCTCTGGTCTCTTTAGTCTCTCTGGTCTCTCTTTAGTCTCTCTGGTCTCTCTCTGGCCTCTCTGGTCTCTCTCTGGTCTCTTTAGTCTCTCTGGTCTCTCTCTGGTCTCTCTCTGGTCTCTCTCTAGCCTCTCTCTTGTCTCTCTGGTCTCTCTCTGGTCTCTCTCTAGTCTCTCTGGTCTCTCTTTGGCCTCTCTGGTCTCTCTCTGGTCTCTTTAGTCTCTCTGGTCTCTCTCTGGTCTCTCTCTGGTCTCTCTCCAGTCCCTCTCTTGTCTCTCTGGTCTCTCTCTGGTCTCTCTCCAGTCCCTCTCTAGTCTCTCTGGTCTCGCCCTGACAGACATCTCTCTGATCGTGACCCATCCTGACACAGCTCACATCTTGTTTCACATCCAGTGATTGATGCAAATTTATTCCTTAGAAGTGTTTTTTATTCTTTATTTTTATTATCTCTTTCTGACTGTTGCACTGAGCCAAAGCAATTTCCAAGTCTGTAACTTCCTGTTACTTACGTGGCAATAAAAATGATTCTGATTCTGAAACATTCGTCCAAGACTCACACATAACTTCTGTCCTTTTTCTGGTCTCTCTCTGGTCTCTCTCTTTGGTCTCTCTCTGGTCTCTCTCTTTGGTCTCTCTCTGGTCTCTCTCTCTGGTCTCTCTCTGGTCTCTCTCTGGTCTCTCTCTGGTCTCTCTCTGGTCTCTCTCTTTGGTCTCTCTCTGGTCTCTCTCTCTGGTCTCTCTCTGGTCTCTCTCTGGTCTCTCTCTGGTCTCTCTCTGGTCTCCCTCTGGTCTCTTTCTGGTCTCTCTCTGGTCTGTCTGCATTGGATTCAGTACATTCTTAATTTTCCTCTGGGTTTGGTGTGAAATGTACAGGATTAGGTCAAGGAATAAATACAGTATGTTCTCAGTCGAGGTGTAGGTCAGAGAGAGAGGAAGCATTCACAAAGCTCCGCACACACGAGAGACTGTTCTGTGGCCCTCCCTCCCCCCTCCTCCTTCTCTCTCCCCTCTCTCTCTTTCCTCTCCTCTCTCCTCTCTTCTCTCTCTCTCTCTTTCCTCTCTCTCTCCCCTCTCTCTCTTTCCTCTCCTCTCTCCTCTCTTCTCTCTCTCTCTTTCCTCCCCTCTCTCCTCTCTTCTCTCTCTCTCTTTCCTCTCTCTCTCCCCTCTCTCTTTCCTCTCCTCTCTCTCTCTCCTCTCCTCTCTTCTCTCTCCTCTCCCATCTCTCTCTCTTTCCTCTCCTCTCTCTCTCTCCTCTCCTCTCTTCTCTCTCTGCAATAATGGCATCAGTGCAACATTCCAACAGCCGTTGCTCATTGTCTTTGTCCGATCATTGGGACTGGGTCTGTTCAGATGTATCTGAGACTTCTTATGAGACGTCTTATGTTTTTAGTGATTATTCTGTCTGTTACTGCTGCCACACACTCATCTGGTGCTGAATGAGAAACCGGGTCGAGGGGATGCTACAGGAGGCGGGGGCTTACCTACTCACTCCACCACAGCAGGCGGAGTTTGGACAAAACTGGGTCACGTGACAAGCGTGGGGAGAGAGAGAGCGTGAGAGAGGGAGAGAGAGAGCAGCACATCCCGGGAGGCAGCTCAGTGTGTACGAGTGGAGCATCCCCGACACACAGACAGAGAGCTCTCACTGAGAAAAGTTACTGACACCAACGAGGACAAAGGGGGACGCCATGTCTTCTCTGTCGAACCAACACTCTTCCAACCCGTTTGCAGAGTACGGCGAGCTCTGCAAGGTTCCCGTGATGTCAGACGCCAGGCCAGCCCAGCCCTGGGACTGGCAGGGCATGGCCAGTCCCATGGGTCTCATGGTCAGTGGTCCTCTGCCGACAGAGGGACTCACGGATGAAGATAAGCTGTGTTTCTTTGAGCGACCTGTTGGAGGAAGCGGCGATTTGAAGGTTCCCAGTCGGATGTCAGGCATGTCCATGAGCCCCTCTTTGGGAAACGCATCCCTCGGAAGTGCTGGAGAGAGTCCGGACAGCCTTTATTCTTCCCCAGCGCTGGTGTCCTCCCAGGCCGGGTCGTCTCCTTCCCCCAGAGGTCCGACTGAAGGCATCTCGCCGTCAGAATCCTGGGATCACTCTGACTTCCCCCAGTCCAGCCCCAAGCTCGCCATGCCCCAGGTGGGTTCCAAGTATCCCCAGATGGAGTGCTCCAGAGAGGACCTGTTTGGAGCGGAGTCGGCCGGTCGCGTGGTCGAAGGTTCCACGGGCGACAATAGTGAAGAAGAGGAGGAGATGGATGACGAGGAAGAAGTAGGGCTGGGTTCTGTTGTGTCCATGTGTGGAGGACTGATGTAGCAGTATCTGCATGTGCTCGGCAGAGAGTGAGGAAGAGGTTAGCCAAACGCTATCTCTAACACAGAGCGAAACATGTGGGTCTTCAGGGAAACTTAGTAAATTATAGCCAATATGTTTTGATTGGACTCCTAGAAGTTTTACGCCAGATTTATACACAGTGTGTTGCTATGGTAACTAGCACGACTGCGAACCAGACCCAGTCCAGGACCAGCAAGTTTATATCAATCAATCTACATAAACTATTAAATTATAGAAACTGAAATTATAATTGGATAAGCAGAAATGTAAGATTCACATTCATTTATTTGCCATTTGCAGTAAAACCACATTAGAATAGATCCGCAAGACCGGCACATAAATAAAATAAGGTTAGTCCTAGTGTTGGCGAGTCAGACGTAAGACACTGGCTCAGTTGTAGAGCATTGGCCTTTGAGCTTGAAGGTCGTGGGTTTGATTCCACCGCGAGACCTTCTCCACTGACTCCACTGATGTCTGCTGCTGTTGTGTCCTTGGGCAAGACACTTAACCCACTTTGCCTATAAGCAGCGCAGACGTAATCGCTGCATGATGTGTTTAAGTGTATTCATCAAAACTGAAATTTGAATGATCTGAATAAAGGACCTTCTTCTTCCTCCTTCTAAGCTTTGGGCCGTGCAGGTACTGAGTTATAAAGTCTGTGGATGTGGTGTTTATGAATCCGTGTCGCTCTGCAGGAGGAGGAGCTGCAGGAGGAGGAGCTGCAAGAGGAGGAGCTGCAGCCGTGTGTGATGGGTCGCGCTCAGTCGCAGAGGAGAGCCATGCGCAGGGCTCTGTCAGAATGCACCCATCTCTCTGTTCCCACCACTTTAGTTCTGTCTGACATGTACCCCGCCCTGGAGCCCTCCGCCCACCTCCTGTCTCCTCTGGGCCCTCAGCGGCGACCTCCTCACATGCAGCGATCTATGACAGTGGCTGAGGAGTCCACGCCTCCTCCTACGCTCTCCGCAGCAGGAGCCACACACACAGACTTACGGCGATCTCCACCCGAGGAGAGAGCGCACCTGTGTCCTCTGCCTCCGCTCCCCGAGCACCTCCTTCCTCCTGCAGAGCTCCGACAGCACCTCCTTCCTCCTGCAGAGCTCCCACAGCACCTCCTTCCTCCTGCAGAGCTCCCACAGCACCTCCTTCCTCCTGCAGAGCTCCGACAGCACCTGCTTCCACCTGCAGAGCTCCCACAGCACCTCCTTCCACCTGCAGAGCTCCCACAGCACCTCCTTCCTCCTGCAGGACCAGCACTGGGAGGGTTCAGGGCGGAGAGAGAGGCAGCCGGGGTCGTTCTGCCGATTCCCTCAGGGTTTGGGGATCAGGAAGAAACCAAAGAAACCAAAATACCAAATATCTACAACCAGGAAGTGGGAGACGTTGTTGGGTTTGACTTTAGGGGCCGAGAAAGAGACTTTGAAGACGACTACAGCTGCTCGAGCACGAACCCAAACACTGACCCTTTCATCACGAAGGACGGTAGGTGGTCCAGCTCATGTTGTCACAGAATGGTATTTCTCATTCAGCAAAAGGGGAGGGGCTAGGGGAGAGGTGAAACTGGACATATCTATGCGGAGTAATGTAGTAGTAATATAGTTAGAAACAAGGGATCAACTTTGGGACAAAAAGTTGACTCTTCACTTCTCACACTTGTCAGAATGAATAAAATACTGTTATATGTAAATAAACTCATGCCTTGAACTGCAGCTTTCATATTCAGCTTTTCCTCCAGACTTAAATCCTCACGGCTGTTGGAGCTGTAGTATTTTGTTTTGATCATATTGTATCAACTTTGACCGTCTTGTTTCTGCTCCTTCAGTTCTTAAGTGTGTAATCTGTATAATCAGTTCATTAACAGCTGGAGGCTGACGATGAATCAGAGTCTGCTCCAAACGACCACAGTTCTGTTGGATCTGTGTTTACAAAAGGAGATCAGAGATCACTTCTGCTAAATATATTTAGAAATAAATGCTCTGAATTCTGTGTTGACAATAATTGTATCAGAGCTGGGTCCTGACCCGGACCTACAGGTCCAGAGACTTGGACTTGGACCTACAGGTCCAGAGACTTGGACTTGGACCTACAGATCCAGAGACTTGGACTTGCTGTACACACTACATCAGTGCTGACAAATCAGGTCAGAATGTGCTCTTTAATGGATTTAAATTTGGTTTTCTGGAAGATTCTCTGCATCAAACAACATGGAAGTAGCAGTAGCAGTAGCAGTAGCAGCAGTAGAAGTAGTAGTAGTAGTAGTAGTAGCAGTAGAGGTAGTAGCAGTAGTAGCAGTAGTAGCAGCAGTAGTAGCAGTAGCAGTAGTAGTAGTAGTAGCAGTAGCAGTTGCAGTAGAAGTAGCAGTTGCAGTAGAAGTAGCAGTAGCAGTAGTAGCAGTAGCAGTAGTAGTAGCAGTAGTAGCAGTAGTAGTAGTAGCAGTAGTAGCAGTAGTAGTAGTAGTAGTAGCAGTAGCAGTAGTAGTAGTAGCAGTAGCAGTAGCAGTAGTAGTAGTAGCAGCAGTAGCAGTAGTAGCAGTAGTAGCAGTAGTAGTAGTAGCAGTAGTAGCAGTAGTGCACCATCGTTCATATTTGAATAACTCATATGGTAATACTTCTATGATCTGGAGAATGGCTCCTGTGCCTCTTGGAGGAGGTCTGTGCTCTCCCAGAGTTTGTTGTTTGTTTCTGACCCTCAGCTGCTGCAGTTAATGTTCTGTGTCAGGAAGTGGGCGTGGCCTCCTGTGGTGCTTCACAGAAACATTAGATCAAACTGACACGGAGTTGTGTTTAGCTTCATCCATGTTCAGCCTGAGTCCTGCTCGTCTCAGATACAACCTCAGAACGTTCAACTGTTTGGACCTGGATTTAGACATAGTCACAGAAGAAGCCTGTCTCACATTTTCAGGAAGACTGGTCCAGATTTTAGCTGAAACACTGCCCCCTCATATTTAGTCCTGACTCTGGACCAGCAGGAGACCAGTCCCTGTGCTCCTCAGAGTCCCAGCAGGAGACCAGTCCCTGTGCTCCTCAGAGTCGCCAGCAGGAGGCCAGTCCCTGTGCTCCTCAGAGTCCTAGCAGGAGGCCAGTCCCTGTGCTCCTCAGAGTCCCAGCAGGAGGCAGTCCCTGTGCTCCTCAGAGTCCCAGCAGGAGGCCAGTCCCTGTGCTCCTCAGAGTCCCAGCAGGAGACCAGTCCCTGTGCTCCTCAGAGTCGCCAGCAGGAGACCAGTCCCTGTGCTCCTCAGAGTCCCAGCAGGAGACCAGTCCCTGTGCTCCTCAGAGTCGCCAGCAGGAGGCCAGTCCCTGTGCTCCTCAGAGTCCTAGCAGGAGGCCAGTCCCTGTGCTAACTCCTTTTTTTCTTTTCCACACATTACACACATTCTTTCACATTCTACATCTGGGGTCTTCAAACCGGTCCTCAGGTGTTCAGGTTCAGACTCACCTGAGGAAAGAGGTGGGATCTGCTCTGCTCCTGCTCGGTTGGACTGAAAACCTGCAGCCACACGTCCCTTTGAGGAGCTCTAAAGCATGAAAAGCCAGAGACACAAGACCATATGTCAGACCCAAAAAGACCCAAAATGATATGTGTGTGTAATATCAGCAGCTTTGATCCGCTCTGACAGACGTCTCACTTCTCTAATTATCTCGTCACGGTTTCTTCTGGAGTCTCTTTCTTTGTTCGTTCCTTTGTCCTTTTGTCTCGTTACTAAAACGTCAGCTTTGTATTTAGGTCACAGCAGACGAGTGGTGTTTTCCATACGTTAGAGCCGCAGGAGAGAGCACACACTATCTACATGTCGTCTGTGCTAATATCACAGAGACGCTGAGAGAGGTCTCTGGTCTCTCTATGCTCTCTCTCTATGGTCTCTCTATGGTCTCTCTATGCTCTCTCTCTCTGGTCTCTCTCTCTGGTCTCTCTCTATGCTCTCTCTCTCTGGTCTCTCTCTATGCTCTCTCTCTCTGGTCTCTCTCTATGCTCTCTCTCTCTGGTCTCTCTCTATGCTCTCTCTCTCTGGTCTCTCTCTCTGGTCTCTCTCTATGCTCTCTCTCTCTGGTCTCTCTCTATGCTCTCTCTCTATGGTCTCTCTCTCTGGTCTTTCTGCTCTCTCTCTCTGCTCTATTTCTCTATCTGCTCCCTCTCTCACTGCTCTCTATCTACTCTCTGATCTTTCTCTACTCTCTCTCTCTGCTACCAAGTAAAGCACTGATTGTTGCTATATGAATCATAAATACGAGATTGTGTAACGTTTGAGAGAGCAATGAGAGGCTGATAATAATAATAGTAATAATAATACATTTAGTTTGTTTGGCGACTTTCTGGGCACTCACAAAAGGTACAGCTTTAAAATCAGGCACCAGGAGAAGGACAGGGGTGAGGTGGTTGCTTCAGGACAGGGGGGGTGGGGTTGCTTCAGGACTGGGGGGATGTAAGTAAGTAAGTAAGCTTTATTTATACAGCGCCTTTCACAGACCAAGGCCACAAAGCGCTTCACAGTTTAAACAGGTAAAAACAGACAAAATACAATTTAAAATGTGCGTATACAAAAAATAATACTAAATATACAGTCAATATAATGGCCAAGACACCTCAGTGACAGGTTTAAAAACAGCCGCAAGAAAATTATGTAAAAGCTTGCCCAAATAAATAGGTTTTTAGCTGACCTTTGAATGAATCAACCGATTCCATCAGCCGCAGAAAGAGCGGAAGATTGTTCCAGAGCTTAGGCGCAACAGCCTGGAAGGACCGGTCTCCCCTGGTCCAAAAGCGCGTGCGTGGGACCATCAAAAGATTCTGATCCACAGACCATGTGGTTGTTTCAGACAGGGGTGATGTGGTTGCTTCAGGACAGGGGTGATGTGGTTGCTTCAGGACAGGGGTGATGTGGTTGCTTCAGGACAGGGGTGATGTGGTTGCTTCAGGACAGGGGTGATGTGGTTGTGTCAGGACAGGGGTGATGTGGTTGCTTCAGGACAGGGTGATGTGGTTGCTTCAGGACAGGGGGATGTGATGTGGTTGCTTCAGGACAGGGGGGATGTGGTTGCTTCAGGACAGGGGTGATGTGGTTGCTTCAGGACAGGGGTGATGTGGTTGCTTCAGGACAGGATGATGTGGTTGTGTCAGGACAGGGGTGATGTGGTTGCTTCAGGACAGGGGTGATGTGGTTGCTTCAGGACAGGGTTGATGTGGTTGCTTCAGGACAGGGGTGATGTGGTTGTTTCAGGACAGGGGTGATGTGGTTGCTTCAGGACAGGGGTGATGTGGTTGCTTCAGGACAGGGGTGATGTGGTTGCTTCAGGACAGGGGTGATGTGGTTGCTTCAGGACAGGGGTGATGTGGTTGCTTCAGGACAGGGTGATGTGGTTGCTTCAGGACAGGGGGATGTGATGTGGTTGCTTCAGGACAGGGGGGATGTGGTTGCTTCAGGACAGGGGTGATGTGGTTGCTTCAGGACAGGGGTGATGTGGTTGCTTCAGGACAGGATGATGTGGTTGTGTCAGGACAGGGGTGATGTGGTTGCTTCAGGACAGGGGTGATGTGGTTGCTTCAGGACAGGGGTGATGTGGTTGCTTCAGGACAGGGGTGATGTGGTTGCTTCAGGACAGGGGTGATGTGGTTGCTTCAGGACAGGGGTGATGTGGTTGCTTCAGGACAGGGTTGATGTGGTTGCTTCAGGACAGGGGTGATGTGGTTGCTTCAGGACAGGGGTGATGTGGTTGCTTCAGGACAGGGGTGATGTGGTTGCTTCAGGACAGGGTTGATGTGGTTGCTTCAGGACAGGGGTGATGTGGTTGTGTCAGGACAGGGGTGATGTGGTTGCTTCAGGACAGGGGTGATGTGGTTGCTTCAGGACAGGGGTGATGTGGTTGTTTCAGGGCAGGGGGGATGTGGTTGCTTCAGGACAGGGGTGATGTGGTTGCTTCAGGACAGGGGTGATGTGGTTGCTTCAGGACAGGGGTGATGTGGTTGCTTCAGGACAGGGGTGATGTGGTTGCTTCAGGACAGGGTGATGTGGTTGCTTCAGGACAGGGTTGATGTGGTTGCTTCAGGACAGGGTTGATGTGGTTGCTTCAGGACAGGGGTGATGTGGTTGCTTCAGGACAGGGGTGATGTGGTTGCTTCAGGACAGGGGTGATGTGGTTGCTTCAGGACAGGGGTGATGTGGTTGCTTCAGGACAGGGGTGATGTGGTTGCTTCAGGACAGGGGTGATGTGGTTGCTTCAGGACAGGGGTGATGTGGTTGCTTCAGGACAGGGGTGATGTGGTTGCTTCAGGACAGGGGTGATGTGGTTGCTTCAGGACAGGGGGGATGTGGTTGCTTCAGGACAGGGGTGATGTGGTTGCTTCAGGACAGGGGTGATGTGGTTGTGTCAGGACAGGGTGATGTGGTTGCTTCAGGACAGGGGGATGTGATGTGGTTGCTTCAGGACAGGGTGATGTGGTTGCTTCAGGACAGGGGGATGTGATGTGGTTGCTTCAGGACAGGGTTGATGTGGTTGCTTCAGGACAGGGGGGATGTGGTTGCTTCAGGACAGGGGTGATGTGGTTGCTTCAGGACAGGGGTGATGTGGTTGCTTCAGGACAGGGTGATGTGGTTGTGTCAGGACAGGGGTGATGTGGTTGCTTCAGGACAGGGTTGATGTGGTTGCTTCAGGACAGGGTTGATGTGGTTGCTTCAGGACAGGGGTGATGTGGTTGCTTCAGGACAGGGGTGATGTGGTTGCTTCAGGACAGGGGTGATGTGGTTGCTTCAGGACAGGGGTGATGTGGTTGTTTCAGGGCAGGGGGGATGTGGTTGCTTCAGGACAGGGGTGATGTGGTTGTGTCAGGACAGGGTGATGTGGTTGCTTCAGGACAGGGGGATGTGATGTGGTTGCTTCAGGACAGGGTGATGTGGTTGCTTCAGGACAGGGGGATGTGATGTGGTTGCTTCAGGACAGGGTTGATGTGGTTGCTTCAGGACAGGGTTGATGTGGTTGCTTCAGGACAGGGGTGATGTGGTTGCTTCAGGACAGGGGTGATGTGGTTGCTTCAGGACAGGGGTGATGTGGTTGCTTCAGGACAGGGGTGATGTGGTTGTTTCAGGGCAGGGGGGATGTGGTTGCTTCAGGACAGGGGTGATGTGGTTGTGTCAGGACAGGGGTGATGTGGTTGCTTCAGGACAGGGGTGATGTGGTTGTGTCAGGACAGGGTGATGTGGTTGCTTCAGGGCAGGGGGATGTGGTTGCTTCAGGACAAGGTGATGTGGTTGCTTCAGGACAGGGGGATGTGATGTGGTTGCTTCAGGACAGGGTTGATGTGGTTGCTTCAGGACAGGGGGGATGTGGTTGCTTCAGGACAGGGGTGATGTGGTTGCTTCAGGACAGGGGTGATGTGGTTGCTTCAGGACAGGGTGATGTGGTTGCTTCAGGACAGGGGTGATGTGGTTGCTTCAGGACAGGGGTGATGTGGTTGCTTCAGGACAGGGGTGATGTGGTTGTTTCAGGACAGGGGTGATGTGGTTGCTTCAGGACAGGGTTGATGTGGTTGTTTCAGGACAGGGGTGATGTGGTTGCTTCAGGACAGGGGTGATGTGGTTGCTTCAGGACAGGGGGTGATGTGGTTGCTTCAGGACAGGGGTGATGTGGTTGCTTCAGGACAGGGGTGATGTGGTTGCTTCAGGACAGGGTTGATGTGGTTGCTTCAGGACAGGGTGATGTGGTTGCTTCAGGACAGGGTGATGTGGTTGCTTCAGGACAGGGGTGATGTGGTTGCTTCAGGACAGGGGTGATGTGGTTGCGTCAGGACAGGGGTGATGTGGTTGTTTCAGGACAGGGGTGATGTGGTTGCTTCAGGACAGGGGTGATGTGGTTGCTTCAGGACAGGGGGGATGTGGTTGCTTCAGGACAGGGGTGATGTGGTTGTGTCAGGACAGGGGTGATGTGGTTGCGTCAGGACAGGGGTGATGTGGTTGTTTCAGGACAGGGGTGATGTGGTTGCTTCAGGACAGGGGGATGTGATGTGGTTGCTTCAGGACAGGGTGATGTGGTTGTGTCAGGACAGGGGGGATGTGGTTGTTTCAGGACAGGGGTGATGTGGTTGCTTCAGGACAGGGGTGATGTGGTTGCTTCAGGACAGGGGTGATGTGGTTGCTTCAGGACAGGGTTGATGTGGTTGCTTCAGGACAGGGGTGATGTGGGTGCTTCAGGACAGGGGTGATGTGGTTGTTTCAGGACAGGGGGGATGTGGTTGCTTCAGGACTGGGGTTAGGACCTTCTCTCCAAAACAAACCTTATTCTCATATCTTATGTTTTGTTCACAGTTAAAGCAGAAAAGGTAGAGAAAGAGGAGAAGAAAGATGAAATCAAGAAAGAGGAGAAACCTGTGGAGAACCTGAAGACGGCTGGAGTCCTGGGTCCATTCGATGAAGTGAGAAACAAAGGCGTGACTGTAGAGTTTGCGAGCGACAAAGAAGTTTTCAAGATGGAAGTGGAGCCACCAAAAGTCCAACCAGAGGAGACGAAGAAGGAGGTGAAGGAGGCGAAGGAGGCGGAGCAAGTCAAGAGCAAAGTCGAGGAGACGACCAAAGCTGCAGCAATGTGGGCAGAAGAAAAACAGGAAGTAAAGTCTCATGTAGCGGAGAAGAAAGAGGAGAGAGAGGACGAGATTTCACACACTCTGGTCCAAAGTGCGGAGGAGAAGATGGACGTTGACCACAAGCCTCAAGAGAAGGTTCAGAACAAAACACCAAATATTGAGGTCAGCGACGAGAACACGGACACCAACCAAAAGCCTCAAGGAGAAGTTGAAGGAAAACGTCAGGATGAGACGCCACAGATGTCCCCACAAACCAAAGTGAAGGAAGAACCCAAGACTCCGGAACCACAGGTCGTGTCCGCCAGGGTCTCTGTCACAGAACCGGCCGAGAAAAAGGCGCCAGAAGCTTCTAAGGTAGAGCCAGAGACGGTTCAAATTAAGACAGAGGAACCGATTACCAAGAAAGAGGAACCAGAGACGAAAGTGGAACAAGCGAAGACGGAGGAGGTGAAGAAGGTTGAGGAGAAGCCAGAGCTGGACACACAGGATAAAGAGACCGCAGAGAAGAAGGATCAGAAGGAGACTGTGGACAAGGATCAGAAGGAGACTGTGGACAAGGATCAGAAGGAGACTGTGGACAAGAAGGATCAGAAGGAGACTGTGGACAAGGATCAGAAGGACACTGTGGACAAGAAGGATCAGAAGGAGACTGTGGACAAGGATCAGAAGGAGACTGTGGACAAGAAGGATCAGAAGAAGCCAAAAGCAGAGACCGGGGATAAGGCGAAGAAGGCCAAACCTGTAATGAACGGTAGCAACGCCACGCCGAGCAAAGACAAGATCAAGGTAAGAGAACTTTTACAAAAACTGGTTATGAAAATATACCATGTGCAAGCAGCAGCACACCAGACTCCGCCCATTTCCTGCTGTGAGTCCAGTTTGAAGCTGAAGACCTGAGAAAGGGGCGGAGTCTGTGTGCTCCAGCAGTGGGAATGAAATCCTGCTGCCACCCCTGGTCCTCTCTGGAACCAGTTTGACAGCCCTGGTCCAGCCCTGGTCCTCTCTGGAACCAGTTTACCAACCCATGAAGTCACAACACTTTTGCGACTGAGAAATATTTCGCACATAATCATTTACTTTTATATTTCAAATGCTATTTTGCTAAAGCTGCAGTAAAACACATGTTTTTCTCTCATATTTAATCCTAAAGTTTTATGCCCTTATTATTTTATTATTTTCTATAGTTTGCGTAATTCAGGTTTCATTGCTGAACTTGCTTATTTTAAGTTTCATTTTCTACCTTTATGTTGCTCACCTCATCTCAGCCCACTGCCTCCAAACCCGGCATCACGACCAAAGCACGACCCGCCTCCTCCACAGGGGCCTCCTCCACAGGAGCCTCCACAGCTGCCTCCACAGCCGCTACCAAGAGGCCTGCACTCTCCTCTGCTGCAGACAAGAAGACCCCCTTAGCCAGGGCCCCCGTGGCTGCGAAGGCTCCTGTGACTGCAAAGGCTCCTGTGGCAGCTAAGGCTCCTGTGGCTGCGAAGGTCCCTGCTGCGACCAGGGCCCCTGCTGCAGCCAAACCCACCGCCGCCACTGCTAAGGCCCCTAGCTCCAGACCCCTGAGCGCTGCAGGAGCCTCTGGGCCCAAGAGACCCCTCAGCACTTCCAGCCCACGGCCCACCTCCACGACAGCCAGAGACGTCAAGCCAAAGGTGAGTGACAGAGTTAGGCTCCTGGGGGCCCCTACTGTATGAAGGTGTGAAGGATCAAACTGGTCAGATCTGGGAACAGGAAACTGAGCTGTTTGCTTTGTTGGAGTCTGGGGAATATTCCGCTCATATCTACAGTACATGTGTGACTCCAGTGCACTGTGGAGTCCTGAGGAAGTCCATCTCCCAGTGCTCTGATGAACAAACAGTGTTCGCCTTCACACAAGGATCTGTTAGTCCATCAATAAAATCCAACCAGCTTCACATCTCAATGAGCCTTTTTTGTTCATGGGTCCAGGCCCTTGCGTCCAAGCTCTTGGTTCCTGGTCCATGGGTCCAGGCCCTTTGGTCCAGGTCCATGGGTCCAGGCCCTTGGGTCCTGGTCCATGGGTCCTGGTCCATAGGTCCAGGCCCTTGGGTCCTGGTCCATGGGTCCAGGCCCTTTGGTCCAGGTCCTTTGGTCCAGGTCCTTGGGTCCATGCCCTTGGGTCTAGGCCCTTGGGTCCAGGTGACTCAGGCTTTTCTCAGTGGTTCCGCTGCATCGTCACCAGTGCTGGGGGCTGAGTCTACTGTAGACCACAGTCTCTGACCCTGATTCTAAATGTGACGAACAAGAAGCAGACAGAACCAGGGCAGCATTTGACCCACTTCCCTGAGCTCACATATGTCCTGATGTGTTGGAAGGACCAGGTGATGTGTAGTCCCTGTGCTAAAGTAAAGGCGTAGAGTTAGATGTGGCTGATAGTTGTAGCGTCTGTGGATCATCTCTGTGTCTGTGTCTGTCTGTGTGTGTGTGTGTGTGTGTGTGTGTGTGTGTGTGTGTCTGTCTGTGTCTGTGTCTGTGTGTGTGTCTGTGTGTCTGTCTCTGTCTGTGTCTGTCTCTGTCTGTGTCTGTGTCTGTGTCTGTGTCTGTCTGTGTCTGTGTCTGTGTCTGTGTCTGTGTCTGTGTCTGTGTCTGAGTCTGAGTCTGAGTCTGAGTCTGAGTCTGAGTCTGTGTCTGTGTCTGTGTCTGTGTCTGTGTCTGTGTCTGTGTCTGTGTCTGTGTCTGTGTCTGAGTCTGAGTCTGAGTCTGAGTCTGAGTCTGTGTCTGAGTCTGAGTCTGAGTCTGAGTCTGAGTCTGAGTCTGAGTCTGTGTCTGTGTCTGTGTCTGTGTCTGTGTCTGTGTCTGAGTCTGTGTCTGAGTCTGAGTCTGAGTCTGAGTCTGAGTCTGAGTCTGTGTCTGTGTCTGTGTGTGTGTGTGTGTGTCTGTCTGTGTCTGTGCCTGTGTCTGTGTGTGTGTGTCTGTCTGTGCCTGTGTCTGTGTGTCTGTCTCTGTCTGTGTCTGTCTCTGTCTGTGTCTGAGTCTGTGTCTGTGTCTGTGTCTGAGTCTGAGTCTGAGTCTGAGTCTGAGTCTGTGTCTGTGTCTGTGTCTGTGTCTGTGTCTGAGTCTGTGTCTGTGTCTGTGTCTGTGTCTGAGTCTGTGTCTGAGTCTGAGTCTGTGTCTGTGTCTGTGTCTGTGTCTGTGTCTGTCTGTGTCTGTGTCTGAGTCTGAGTCTGAGTCTGAGTCTGTGTCTGTGTCTGTGTCTGAGTCTGAGTCTGAGTCTGAGTCTGTGTCTGTGTCTGTGTCTGTGTCTGTGTCTGAGTCTGAGTCTGAGTCTGAGTCTGAGTCTGAGTCTGTGTCTGTGTCTGTGTCTGTGTCTGAGTCTGTGTCTGAGTCTGAGTCTGAGTCTGAGTCTGAGTCTGTGTCTGAGTCTGAGTCTGAGTCTGAGTCTGAGTCTGTGTCTGTGTCTGTGTCTGTGTCTGTGTCTGAGTCTGAGTCTGAGTCTGAGTCTGAGTCTGTGTCTGAGTCTGTGTCTGTGTCTGTGTCTGTGTCTGAGTCTGAGTCTGAGTCTGAGTCTGTGTCTGAGTCTGAGTCTGAGTCTGAGTCTGAGTCTGAGTCTGAGTCTGAGTCTGTGTCTGTGTCTGTGTCTGTGTCTGAGTCTGAGTCTGAGTCTGAGTCTGAGTCTGAGTCTGAGTCTGAGTCTGAGTCTGAGTCTGAGTCTGAGTCTGAGTCTGAGTCTGAGTCTGAGTCTGAGTCTGAGTCTGTGTCTGTGTCTGTGTCTGTGTCTGTGTCTGAGTCTGTGTCTGTGTCTGTAGACGGCGACAGAGAAGCGTCCTACTGCACCAAAAGCCTCTGATCCAACGGCTGCAGCCAAAACTGGGATTGCCTCAGCCGGGAGGAGCACCACCACCTCTCGACCCACCTCCACCACCTCCACACGACCCACCTCCTCCACCTCCACACGACCCACCACCTCCTCTGCTCGCCCTGCCTCCTCCACCTCCAGGAAGCCTCTGGGTAGGACACGGCTCTCTCATGTCTTCTTTAAACGCTGCTGACTGGTGTAATCTTTGCGTCTCTTTCACAGCCTCAAAGGCGGAGAGCAAACCGGGAGAGGAGAAGAAGGCCGGGGCGCCGCGGACAGCCACAGGTGAAGATGCTAACGTTGTGTTTTGCTCATAAATTAGTTGCGTAACGTGGCAGATGACCCACTTCTGTGCTCTCAGGTCAATGGCTGTTTGTCCTACTCTCTGAGAATAGAACATATGTGGTTAAACTCTCTGACCCTGCACCTCTCCATCCCTTTCTCTCTGACCCTGCACCTCTCCATCCCTTTCTCTTGTTTTTTATTTTTATTCCCGGGTGTGTGTTTATGGCATCCAGCTCTACTTACATTACTGTGTGTCTAATTCTTGATATTGCTAAGCTCTCTCCTCTCTCTCTCTGCTCTCTCTCTGCTCTCTCTCTCTGCTCTCTCTCTCCTCTCTCTCTCCTCTCTCTCTGCTCTCTCTCTGCTCTCTCTCTGCTCTCTCTCTGCTCTCTCTCTGCTCTCTCTCTCCTCTCTCTCTGCTCTCTCTCTGCTCTCTCTCTGCTCTCTCTCTGCTCTCTCTCTGCTCTCTCTCTGCTCTCTCTCTGCTCTCTCTCTGCTCTCTCTCTGCTCTCTCTCTGTTCTCTCTCTGCTCTCTCTCTGCTCTCTCTCTCCTCTCTCTCTGCTCTCTCTCTGCTCTCTCTCTCCTCTCTCTCTGCTTTCTTCTCTCCTGTACCATGCTTTTCTCCCCCTCTCTCCTCCTCATCCTCCCCATTCTCCCCCTCTCTCCTCTCTCTCTCCCCCATCCTCCCCCTCTCTTCTCCCCCATCCTCCCCCTCTCTTCTCCCCCATCCTCCCCCTCTCTCCTCCTCATCCTCCCCCTCTCTTCTCCCCCATCCTCCCCCTCTCTCCTCCCCCATCCTCCCCCTCTCTCCTCCTCATCCTCCCCCTCTCTTCTCCCCCATCCTCCCCCTCTCTCCCGCTCCATGACAAAGCAGCACGAGTGGCTCTCAGGCTTAAGAAGCGTAAAATCTTGGTTGTTAAAACTCCTGAACGCTTCGTGGATTAGCCTCAGCGTGTGTCGACAGCCACTGCTCCGCTCACACACTCACAAACCACTACACACACACTCACAAACCACTACACACACACTCACAAACCACTACACAACACACACACCAACAAACTACAACACAACATGGATTTCAGCAATTAAACCTTTAAGCAGCGCCTCAGATGGTTCTGATCTGTCCCGGAGCTGACACCGCACACAGGGACTGGGACTGCAGCCATGAGTCACCACGGCTCTGTGTGACACCAGGACGGGGGCCACAGATTGGGAAACACTGACAGTGGCACATTCTCACCGCTGTAGAGCAGGGTTTCTCACACAAGTGGATTATTTGAGAATGGAAAGCAAGGTGTGAAGTTGGGCATAAATACTCTTCAAAGAGCTTGAACTAGTTTCAATGCCTGGGTTTGAACATCTGCATAGGTTATCCACAGGAGACCAGAAAGAGACCAGAGGGACCAGAGAGAGACCACAGAGAGAGACCAGAGAGAGACCAGAGAGAGAGACCAGAGAGAGACCAGAGAGAGACCAGAGAGAGACCAGAGAGAGACCAGAGAGAGACCAGAGAGAGACCAGAGAGAGAGACCAGAGAGAGAGACCAGAGAGAGACCAGAGAGAGACCAGAGAGAGACCAGAGAGAGACCAGAGAGAGACCAGAGAGAGACCAGAGAGAGAAGAGAGAGACCAGAGAGAGACCAGAGAGAGAGACCAGAGAGAGACCAGAGAGAGACCAGAGAGAGACCAGAGAGAGAGAGAGACCAGAGAGAGACCAGAGAGAGACCAGAGAGAGACCAGAGAGAGACCAGAGAGAGACCAGAGAGAGAGAGACCAGAGAGAGACCAGAGAGAGACCAGAGAGAGACCAGAGAGAGACCAGAGAGAGACCAGAGAGAGACCAGAGAGAGACCAGAGAGAGACCAGAGAGAGACCAGAGAGAGACCAGAGAGGGACCAGAGAGAGACCAGAGAGAGGACCAGAGAGAGGACCAGAGAGAGACCAGAGAGAGACCAGAGAGGGACCAGAGAGGGACCAGAGAGGGACCAGAGAGGGACCAGAGAGAGACCAGAGAGAGACCAGAGAGGGACTAGAGAGAGACCAGAGAGAGACCAGAGAGAGACCAGAGAGAGACCAGAGAGAGAGACCAGAGAGAGACCAGAGAGAGACCAGAGAGAGACCAGAGAGAGAGACTAGAGAGGGACTAGAGAGAGACCAGAGAGAGACCAGAGAGAGACCAGAGAGAGACCAGAGAGAGACCAGAGAGAGACCAGAGAGAGACCAGAGCATCAGAATGATGTCGATGACATTATGAACAGTTCTAATCCTCTCGTGTTTCTTCCAGATTCCACTAAATCCACCTCCTCCACTTCTGCAGCCGCTCGCCTGCGCCTCCCTGCAGCCAAGCCCAGCACGACCTCCTCCACAGCGGGGGAGAAGAAGCCTGCTGCCCCCAGAACGACTCGCCCCACCTCCTCCTCCACCAGCACCACCCGGACCAGCACCACCCGCACCGCCCCGGACCCCAGCAGCACACGCTCCAAAGTGGCCTCCACAGACATGAGGCACCAGCCGGGAGGAGGGAAGGTGGGTCTGAGGAGGGGAGGAGGGAGGGAGGTCTGAGGAGGGTCTGAGGAGGGGAGGACAGTGGGCTTCCTCAACGTTCAAGGTTCAAATTTATTTTCCCCTCAGGGACACACTAGAATATGCTCTCTCTCTGGTCTCTCTCTAGTCCATCTCTGGTCTCTCTCTGGTCTCTCTCTGGTCTCTCTCTTGTCTCTCTCTTGTCCATCTCTGGTCTCTCTCTGGTCTCTCTCTAGTCCATCTCTGGTCTCTCTCTGGTCTCTCTGGTCTCTCTCTAGTCCATCTCTGGTCTCTCTCTGGTCTCTCTCTTGTCCATCTCTGGTCTCTCTCTGGTCTCTCTCTGGTCTCTCTCTGGTCTCTCTCTTGTCTCTCTCTGGTCCATCTCTGGTCTGTCTCTGGTCTCTCTCTGGTCTCTCTCTAGTCCATCTCTGGTCTCTCTCTTGTCCATCTCTGGGCTCTCTCTGGTCTCTCTCTAGTCCATCTCTGGTCTCTCTCTGGTCTCTCTCTGGTCTCTCTCTGGTCTCTCACTGGTCTCTCTCTGGTCTCTCTCTGGTCTTTCTCTGGTCTCTCTCTGGTCTTTCTCTGGTCATTGATATCCGTCCTTTAACCAAACACAACAGACGATAGTCCATCTTCCTCTGGTCTCTTTCTAACCACGTGTTTCTAACTCGCTGCCTCTGAGCTCTGTCTGTTCTCGTGCTTATTACTGTGTACCTTCGACTGGAGCAAAGGGACGGAGTACTGTGCGGCCGTGAATATATTAGCACAGGTACAGACTGTGGTAGTCTCAGTGTGGATCTCTCAGACCGCTCCAGTCTGCTCCAGTCTGCTCCAGTCTGCCCCAGTCTGCCCCAGTCTGCTCCAGTCTGCTCCAGTCTGCTCCAGTCTGCTCCAGTCTGCTCCAGTCTGCTCCAGTCTGCTCCAGTCTGCTCCAGTCTGCTCCAGTCTGCTCCAGTCTGCTGCAGTCTGCTCCAGTCTGCCCCAGTCTGCCCCAGTCTGCTCCAGTCTGCTCCAGTCTGCTCCAGTCTGCTCCAGTCTGCTCCAGTCTGCTCCAGTCTGCTCCAGTCTGCCCCAGTCTGCTCCAGTCTGCTCCAGTCTGCTCCAGTCTGCTCCAGTCTGCTGCAGTCTGCTCCAGTCTGCCCCAGTCTGCCCCAGTCTGCTCCAGTCTGCTCCAGTCTGCCCCAGTCTGCCCCAGTCTGCCCCAGTCTGCTCCAGTCTGCTGCAGTCTGCTCCAGTCTGCTCCAGTCTGCTCCAGTCTGCTCCAGTCTGCTGCAGTCTGCTCCAGTCTGCCCCAGTCTGCTCCAGTCTGCTCCAGTCTGCTCCAGTCTGCTCCAGTCTGCTGCAGTCTGCTCCAGTCTGCCCCAGTCTGCCCCAGTCTGCTCCAGTCTGCTCCAGTCTGCCCCAGTCTGCCCCAGTCTGCCCCAGTCTGCCCCAGTCTGCCCCAGTCTGCCCCAGTCTGCTCCAGTCTGCTCCAGTCTGCTCCAGTCTGCTCCAGTCTGCTCCAGTCTGCTCCAGTCTGCTCCAGTCTGCCCCAGTCTGCTCCAGTCTGCTCCAGTCTGCTCCAGTCTGCTCCAGTCCGCTCCAGTCTGCTCCAGTCTGCTCCAGTCTGCTCCAGTCTGCTCCAGTCTGCTCCAGTCTGTTCCAGTCTGCCCCAGTCTGCTCCAGTCTGCTCCAGTCTGCCCCAGTCTGCTCCAGTCTGCTCCAGTCTGCTCCAGTCTGCTCCAGTCTGCTCCATGTGTCTCTAACCCTGGTGACCTGTCCATGTTTCTCCTTCTCCTGCCCTTTCTATGTCCTCTCCCCTCTCCTCTCCCCCTCACACCTCTCCCTCTCTCCTCACTCCTCTCCCCCTCACACCTCTCCCTCTCTCCTCACTCCTCTCCCCCTCACACCTCTCCCTCTCTCCTCATTCCTCTCCCCTCTCTTCCCCCCCTCACACCTCTCTCCTCTCCCCTCACACCTCCCTCTCCTCTCCTCCTCACACCTCCCTCTCTCCTCTCCCCTCACACCTCCCTCTCTCCCCTCTCCTCCCCCCCTCACACCTCCCTCTCTCCCCTCTCCTCCCCCCCTCACACCTCCCTCTCTCCCCTCTCCTCCCCCCCTTACACCTCCCTCTCTCCCCTCTCCTCCCCCCCTTACACCTCACTCTCTCCCCTCTCCTCCCCCCCTCACACCTCCCTCTCCTCCCCCCCTTACACCTCCCTCTCTCCCCTCTCCACCCCCCCTCACACCTCCCTCTCTCCCCTCTCCTCCCCCCCTCACACCTCCCTCTCCTCTCTGCTCTCTCCCCTCTCCACCCCCCTCACACCCCTCTCTCCCCTCTCCTCCCCCCCTCACACCTCCCTCTCCTCTCTGCTCTCTCCCCTCTCCTCCCCCCTCACACCTCCCTCTCTCCCCTCTCCTCCCCCCCTTACACCTCACTCTCTCCCCTCTCCTCCCCCCCTTACACCTCACTCTCTCCCCTCTCCTCCCCCCCTCACACCTCCCTCTCCTCTCTGCTCTCTCCCCTCTCCTCCCCCCCTCACACCTCCCTCTCCTCCCCCCCTTACACCTCCCTCTCTCCCCTCTCCTCCCCCCCTCACACCTCCCTCTCTCCCCTCTCCTCCCCCACTTACACCTCCCTCTCTCCCCTCTCCTCCCCCCCTTACACCTCACTCTCCCCTCTCCTCCCCCCCTCACACCTCCCTCTCCTCCCCCCCTCACACCTCCCTCTCTCCCCTCTCCTCCCCCCCTTACACCTCCCTCTCTCCCCTCTCCTCCCCCCCTTACACCTCACTCTCTCCCCTCTCCTCCCCCCCTCACACCTCCCTCTCCTCCCCCCCTCACACCTCCCTCTCTCCCCTCTCCTCCCCCCCTCACACCTCCCTCTCTCCCGTTGTGGTGCTGTATCCGTGTAGGTTAAGATAGTCTCCATAAAGTTGGACTTCAGCCACGTCACCTCTCGCCTCGGCTCCAGGGACAATATGAAGCATGTTCCGGGCGGAGGGAGAGTAAGTACTGAGCACATCTGCGGAGAGGCGAGCCCGGACCCTAACAACCCCAGACCGTAACAACCCCCTCCCCCTCTGCGCCTCTAACTCCACTAACATCTCTTCTAATCTGTCTCATCTGTTCTCTGATCAAACACACTTTCATAGAATCACAGTGCGGACGTTTGGGCTCTTTTAGTTTCTGTTTTAGTTTGGACTCTTTCATTTCAGCTCAAACATATCTTGCATATGACTGGTTAGATTACACAGAGATTACACAGAGATTACACAGAGATTACACACAGGTGGGTGGCCTACTCACAGACCTTTGAGCAGCTCGAGTCCTGACTAGAACCAGGAAGTACGACCACATTAGTCCAGTTCTCAGGTCTCTGCACTGGCCTCCTGTGGCTCAGAGAATAGACGGGCGGCACAGTGGCTGAGTGGATAGCACTCTCGCCTCTCAGCAAGAAGGTCCTGGGTTCAAATCCCGGCCGGACCAGGGCCTTTCTGAGTGGAGTTTGCATGTTCTCCCCGTGTCTGCGTAGGTTTCCTCCGGGTGCTCCGGTTTCCCCTACCACTAAAAATATGTCCAATAGTTCTAGCATGCGCCTCCTGTACTGGCCCCGCTCATCTCTGTGTGGAGTGAGAGACAAATGCCCAAAATTAACAATTGTAAACCGCTTTGAGACTCAGATCTGCAGTGAAAAGGCGGTATATAAATAAAAACTTACTTACTTACTACTTACTTACTTTAAAACAGCTCTGCTTGTTACAAGTCTCTCCATGGCCTCGCACCAAAATATATTAGTGACATGTTAGTCCCATATGAACCAGCCCGGACTCTGAGGAGCACAGGGACTGGACTCCTGCTGGGACTCTGAGGAGCACAGGGACTGGTCTCCTGCTGGGACTCTGAGGAGCACAGGGACTGGCCTCCTGCTGGGACTCTGAGGAGCACATGGACTGGCCTCCTGCTGGGACTCTGAGGAGCACAGGGACTGGACTCCTGCTGGGACTGAGAGGAGCACAGGGACTGGACTCCTGCTGGGACTCTGAGGAGCACAGGGACTGGACTCCTGCTGGGACTCTGAGGAGCACAGGGACTGGACTCCTGCTGGGACTCTGAGGAGCACAGGGACTGGACTCCTGCTGGGACTCTGAGGAGCACAGGGACTGGACTCCTGCTGGGACTCTGAGGAGCACAGGGACTGGCCTCCTGCTGGGACTCTGAGGAGCACAGGTCTGGTCTCTCTCTGGTCTCTCTCTGGTCTCTCTCTCTGGTCTCTCTCTGGTCTCTCTCTCTGGTCTCTCTCTGGTCTCTCTCTGGTCTCTCTCTGGTCTCTCTCTGGTCTCTCTCTGGCCTCTCTCTCTGGTCTCTCTCTGGTCTCTCTCCGGTCTCTCTCTCGGTCTCTCTCTGGTCTCTCTCTGGTCTCTCTCTGGTCTCTCTCTGGTCTCTCTCCGTCTCTCCCAGAGTCAGAACTCTCTCTGGTCTCTCTCTTTTCTCTCTCTCTCTCTCTGGTCTCTCTCTCTGCTCTCTGGTCTCTCTCTGGTCTCTCTCTGGTCTCTCTCTGGTCTCTCTCTGGTCTCTCTCTGGTCTCTCTCTGGTCTCTCTGCTGGTCTCTGGCTCTGGTCTTCTCTCTCTTTGGTCTCTCTCTCTGGTCTCACTCTCTGGTGTCTCTCTCTCTCTGGTCTCTCTCTCTCTGGTCTCTCTCTCTTTGGTCTCTCTCTCTGGTCTCACTCTCTGGTCTCTCTCTCTTTGGTTTCTCTCTCTGGTCTCTCTCTCTCTGGTCTCTCTCTCTCTGGTCTCTCTCTCTGGTCTCTCTCTCTTTGGTCTCTCTCTGGTCTCTCTCTCTTTGGTCTCTCTCTGGTCTCTCTCTAGTCTCTCTCTAGTCTCTCTCTCTGGTCTCTCTCTCTTTGGTTTCTCTCTCTCTGGTCTCTCTCTCTGGTCTCTCTCTCTTTGGTCTCTCTCTAGTCTCTCTCTGGTCTCTCTCTCTGGTCTCTCTCTCTGGTCTCTCTCTCTTTGGTCTCTCTCTAGTCTCTCTCTGGTCTCTCTCTCTGGTCTCTCTCTCTTTGGTTTCTCTCTCTCTGGTCTCTCTCTCTGGTCTCTCTCTCTCTGGTCTCTCTCTCTGGTCTCTCTCTCTCTGGTCTCTCTCTGGTCTCTCTTTGGTCTCTCTCTCTCTGGTCTCTCTTTGGTCTCTCTGTCCTCTCTCTGGTCTCTCTCTGGTCTCTCTCTGGTCTCTCTCTGGTCTCTCTCTGGTCTCTCTCTGGTCTCTCTCTGGTCTCTCTGGTCTCTCTCTGGTCTCTCTCTGGTCTCTCTCTGGTCTCTCTCCGGTCTCTCTCTGGTCTCTCTCTCTGGTCTCTCTCTGGTCTCTCTCTCTGGTCTCTCTCTGGTCTCTCTCTGGTCTCTCTCTGGTCTCTCTCTGGTCTCTCTCTGGTCTCTCTCTGGTCTCTCTCTGGTCTCTCTCTGGTCTCACAGACAGGGGCTCACCTTCTGACAGGTGGATGTCGAAGGCCTGCAGGTGTGTGGGGGCAGGAGGCCGCACTTCTCCCTGTGGCTCTGGATGAGACGACGCCAGCTTCAGACCTTCAAAACCAAACAGGACTCAGTCATATTTATTTATATGGCACCTTCCACAGAGAGTCCCAAAGGGCTTTATAACTGAGTTTCTCCTCTTGATTGGTCTCTATCTGGTCTGTCTCTCTGGTCTCTCTCTCTGGTCTCTCTCTAAAACCAGGGGTGCATGACAGAACTATTGCACATGTTTATGGTGGTAGGAGAAACCGGAGCACCTGGAGAAATCCTACACAGACATAAGGATAGCACCAGAGACTGTCCAAGCACAAACAATGAGTTAGTCGTCAACTTCTGTCCTGAACACCGCTGTGAGGTCCGATTATCATCCACTAAAACTAGTAAACGCTCTGGATATTCCCATTCTGAGTACATTTCTCTGGTGTGAGATCAATGAAGTCTTTATCTTATTCTTATTGACTCTTCTGTCCTTTTGCTCTGGACAAAGTTCAGAGACACTCCCTGCATTAGCTCAGCACTTCAGGATCAAGCAGGTGATGTCACATTGTTCTTGTTTTGTCAATAGTGAGAAATGGCATCTGTCCAAGAACCCAGCAGCAGAACGCTTCCTCTGCATCAAACCTCAAACCAAGCAACTTTGTACACGTGAAAACAAAGTTAATTCAGTCAGACACAAGATATTTTTGTTCACATTTTTTCATTTTTCCTTTATTTCCGTGGTCCTGGATATAAAGCAGAGATTTTGGAGTACTGACGATCCGATATTGATCTTGAAACAACCTAACTAACCGTAGAAATCAAACGGTTCAGATCCAAAACACAGCAGATGTCAGAGGGAGCAGGGTCCTACCTTCAGAGCAGAGCAGTCTCCAGTGTTCCTCTGTGAAAGAACCATGAACCCCATGACTCCGCTCCCTCTCTCTCCACAGTCTGAGGCAGCAGTCTGCTCCACTCTGACGTCTCTCTGTCTGCATCGCCCAGTCTCTCTCTCTGTCTGTATCTCTCAGTCTCTCTCTGTCTGTCTGCATCGCCCAGTCTCTCTCTCTGTCTGTCTGCATCTCTCAGTCTCTCTCTGTCTGTCTGCATCTCTCAATCTCTCTCTGTCTGTCTGCATCTCTCAGTCTCTCTCTGTCTGTCTGCATCGCCCAGTCTCTCTCTCTGTCTGCATCTCTCAGTCTCTCTCTCTGTCTGTCTGCATCTCACAGTCTCTCTGTCTGTCTGCATCTCTCAATCTCTCTCTCTGTCTGTCTGCATCTCTCAGTCTCTCTCTCTCTGTCTGCATCTCTCAGTCTTTCTCTCTGTCTGTCTGCATCTCACAGTCTCTCTGTCTGTCTGCATCTCTCTCTCCGTCTGTCTGCATCGCCCAGTCTCTCTGTCTGTCTGCATCTCACAGTCTCTCTCTCTGTCTGTCTGCATCTCACAGTCTCTCTGTCTGCATCTCTCAATCTCTCTCTCTGTCTGTCTGCATCTCTCAGTCTCTCTCTCTCAGTCTTTCTCTCTGTCTGTCTGCATCTCACAGTCTCTCTGTCTGTCTGCATCTCTCTCTCCGTCTGTCTGCATCGCCCAGTCTCTCTGTCTGTCTGCATCTCACAGTCTCTCTGTATGTCTGCATCTCTCAATCTCTCTCTCTGTCTGTCTGCATCTCTCAGTCTCTCTGTATGTCTGCATCTCTCAATCTCTCTCTCCGTCTGTCTGCATCGCCCAGTCTCTCTGTCTGTCTGCATCTCTCAGTCTCTCTCTCTGTCTGTCTGCATTTCACAGTCTCTCTGTCTGTCTGCATCTCTCAGTCTCTCTGTCTGTCTGCATCTCTCAATCTCTCTCTCCGTCTGTCTGCATCGCCCAGTCTCTCTGTCTGTCTGCATCTCTCAGTCTCTCTCTGTCTGTCTGCATCTCACAGTCTCTCTGTATGTCTGCATCTCTCAATCTCTCTCTCTGTCTGTCTGCATCTCTCAGTCTCTCTCTGTCTGTCTGCATCTCTCAGTCTCTCTGTCTGTCTGCATCTCCCAGTCTCTCTCTCCGTCTGTCTGCATCGCCCAGTCTCTCGGTCTGTCTGCATCTCTCAGTCTCTCTCTGTCTGTCTGCATCTCTCAGTCTCTCTGTATGTCTGCATCTCTCAATCTCTCTCTCCGTCTGTCTGCATCGCCCAGTCTCTCTGTCTGTCTGCATCTCTCAGTCTCTCTCTCTGTCTGTCTGCATTTCTGTCTGCATCTCTCAGTCTCTCTGTCTGTCTGCATCTCAGTCTCTCTGTCTGTCTGCATCTCTCAATCTCTCTCTCCGTCTGTCTGCATCGCCCAGTCTCTGTCTGTCTGCATCTCTCAGTCTCTCTCTGTCTGTCTGCATCTCACAGTCTCTCTGTATGTCTGCATCTCTCAATCTCTCTCTCTGTCTGTCTGCATCTCTCAGTCTCTCTCTGTCTGTCTGCATCTCTCAGTCTCTCTGTCTGTCTGCATCTCTCAATCTCTCTCTCCGTCTGTCTGCATCGCCCAGTCTCTCTGTCTGTCTGCATCTTTCAGTCTCTCTCTGTCTGTCTGCATCTCACAGTCTCTCTGTATGTCTGCATCTCTCAATCTCTCTCTCTGTCTGTCTGCATCTCTCAGTCTCTCTCTGTCTGTCTGCATCTCTCAGTCTCTCTGTCTGTCTGCATCTCTCAATCTCTCTCTCCGTCTGTCTGCATCGCCCAGTCTCTCTGTCTGTCTGCATCTTTCAGTCTCTCTCTCCGTCTGTCTGCATTTCACAGTCTCTCTGTCTGTCTGCATCTCTCAGTCTCTCTCTCCGTCTGTCTGCATCGCCCAGTCTCTCTGTCTGTCTGCATCTCTCAGTCTCTCTCTCTGTCTGTCTGCATTTCACAGTCTCTCTGTCTGTCTGCATCTCACAGTCTCTCTGTATGTCTGCATCTCTCAATCTCTCTCTCTGTCTGTCTGCATCTCTCAGTCTCTCTCTGTCTGTCTGCATCTCTCAGTCTCTCTGTCTGTCTGCATCTCTCAATCTCTCTCTCCGTCTGTCTGCATCGCCCAGTCTCTGTCTGTCTGCATCTCTCAGTCTCTCTCTGTCTGTCTGCATCTCACAGTCTCTCTGTATGTCTGCATCTCTCAATCTCTCTCTCTGTCTGTCTGCATCTCTCAGTCTCTGTCTGTCTGCATCTCTCAGTCTCTCTCTCTGTCTGTCTGCATTTCACAGTCTCTCTGTCTGTCTGCATCTCTCAGTCTCTCTGTCTGTCTGTCTGCATCTCTCAGTCTCTCTGTCTGTCTGCATCTCTCAGTCTCTCTCTGTCTGTCTGCATCTCTCAATCTCTCTCTCTGTCTGTCTGCATCTCTCAGTCTCTCTCTCTGTCTGTCTGCATCTCTCAGTCTCTCTCTCTGTCTGTCTGCATTTCAGTCTCTCTGTCTGTCTGCATCTCTCAGTCTGTCTGCATCTCTCAGTCTCTCTGTCTGTCTGCATCTCAGTCTCTCTGTCTCTCTCCATCTCTCTCTCTCTCTGTCTGTGTCTATCTCTCTCTCTGTGTTTGTCTCTCTCCCTGTCTGTCTCTCAGAGGAGCAACAATATTAAATGTCTGCCTGTTCATTATAGCAACAGTTAAACATATAGAGTAACGTCCCCATCCCCAGACACCTGCTCCGCCTCATCCTGGGGACTGTAGAGTTATTCCAGACCAGAGGAGAGGGGCCTCCAGCAGGTTCTAGGTCCTCCCCAGGGTCTGCTCCATGGGGCACCTCCTCAGCCACCTCAGCTGGGGATGAGCAGCGGCTCTATTTTGAGCTTATATCCGCCAATCATAACAATAGGTGAGAGAGGGAGCGTAGATTGACCGAGCTTTGACTATAGACACTGCTCCCTCTTCACCACATGATACAGACTCTCACCCTCCCGGACTGTGAAGACCTGAGGAAGGACCTGGACCAAGCACCCCCAGTCCAGTCCAGAACCAGGACCTGGATTATCATTGTCTATAAATAGCTGTACCTTCACACCCCGCGGGTCGGCAACACCTCAGGTTACTCCAGTCTTATTCAGTATTCACTTATTCAGCTGTAGTTTTAGACCAGTGTAACGTAAACAAACTAATAATCATCTACGGAGACGAGACATGAGAGAAACATCTGAAACACAGGGTTGAAAAATAGGCCACGACAAAAAGAACTGAGACGAGGGTGTGGGGTGAGGGAGTTTGTACCAACAGCGTCTGACGGTGAGGCGAGCGGACAGCAGCACACACACACACACACACAGACACACACACACAGACACATACACACACAGACACACACACAGACACACACAGACACACACACACGCCTACGCAGAGCCCCTCTCTGTTTACAAGGACAAAGTCACAAACAAAGCCTCGACAGCAGCACCGTCTGTGATGGACAGGCACAAGTAGGTTTGAGGAGTTTCTAGGATTCAAGGATCCTGGTCCAGAGTGAGACCGGATCCTGGTCCAGAGTGAGACTAGATCCTGGTCCAGAGTGAGACCGGATCCTGAGGTGAAGGATGGTGTCCAGGACCTCACGGATCTAACTCCGCTTTCAGAAAACGTGATCAAAGCAGAGGATAAAGACTTCAAGGTTATTGGGCAATTCCTGATATAGCAGTGGATACAATCTGAAACATGTAAGAGAGACCAGAGAGAGACCAGAGAGAGACCAGAGAGGGACCAGAGAGAGACCAGAGAGAGACCAGAGAGAGACCAGAGAGAGACCAGAGAGAGACCAGAGAGAGGCCAGAGAGAGGCCAGAGAGAGACCAGAGAGAGACCAGAGAGAGACCAGAGAGAGACCAGAGAGAGACCAGAGAGAGACCAGAGAGAGACCAGAGAGAGGCCAGAGAGAGGCCAGAGAGAGGCCAGAGAGAGACCAGAGAGAGACCAGAGAGAGACCAGAGAGAGACCAGAGAGGGACCAGAGAGAGACCAGAGAGAGACCAGAGAGAGACCAGAGAGAGACCAGAGAGAGACCAGAGAGAGACCAGAGAGAGGCCAGAGAGAGGCCAGAGAGAGACCAGAGAGAGACCAGAGAGAGACCAGAGAGAGACCAGAGAGAGACCAGAGAGAGAC